GTTCTAGTCTGCTTTCTACCATCCCATTCTCACCTAGACCATGGCTTCCAGTTACATGCATGTGCCGAGATACAAATCTCTGGAATAGTCTTTGAGTCTTTGCTCCAGATCTATATGGGTAATTGCTTATTTAACAATCCCGTTAAATAGCTCAAAAGTGCCTTGAATTCACTCTACCTGGACTGAATCACAATCATTCCTCCATTAGAACTGGTATTTCTTTAGTGCTTATCTCAGTGCATGTTATCTGATTGTGGAGGCTGGAAAATGTTAATCAAGGGAACCTTCTGAATCCTATCTCCTGAATTGTATTTGGAACCATTGTTTTTTCCCAGTTCCATAGCCTTCCTACTCTTTCCACCCTCACTTTTGACTAGGAGCTCATGTACAGGTGGATAGACATCCCAGGCTGCAAGTCCAAGCTTTAGGCATGGCCCCTGCAAACAGCCACCCCTCAGGAAAAAGGGTGGGTATATCCATAGTTTTGAGGGCAAGAAACTCACATGGTACCATTCCATTCTCCCAGAGGCCACCACCAGAAGTACTCTCCTATTCTTGTTTGCACTCCAGTGCCTTTAAGTAGTTTATTTTGGTCCAGGTTTTGTAGTTGCTACTTGCAGAAGAGTTGCCCTTTTTCTCCATCACGGACTCATACTGGGTTGTGAGATGATTCTGTTATGAGCCTGCTTGTTCTGTTCCCACCATTACAGATTAAAACTTTGCCTTCAAGGTACGTGCCTCAGCTTTGAGAGATATGTGTTTTGCTGGCTCTTTCTGAGATCTGTGGCTTTGGGTTTTTCTCCTACATGTGCCTGGTAGGATCTCCACTGCTGTTGGAAACTTCATCTACTTGATCATTTTTACCTAGTTTCAATGAAATGAAACTTTCATTTCTATCCTGCTGACTTTACTTGATCTCTTGACACTAGAACTGTCAGATTCATGCAAATGTAAGATGGGGCTGAGGCCAAACAATTACCAGTGGTTAATGGAATACTTACTTGCTAAATGGCCCCATATGCACTAAGCACCAAAGATCTAACTGGAGGTTTCAATATACTAGGACAGTATGAGGAGTCTATTGTCACAGCTACTTAATATATATGCTACCAGTTTTGACAGATAAACCAATGCCTTTTTCCTCTAACAGGATATTTCTATGTACAGTCATACATCCTTCAAAGGGGCCATGAAAACCCATATCTAGGGGTCAAATGATGCAGGTATAAAAATAGGGTTTCTGTGAGAAAATCTTACCAACAGAAAGTAATAAATGATATGTAATGTTATGAATTTAATTATCCCATAGTTCGGCATAGAGGATCAACAAGCACTGTGACCAACATTCCAAGAGAGAGGTCCACCCCACTCTGTGCCCCAAATGTTTTCCATATTTAAAATGATGGGTTGGTTCTGCCATCTGATTGAGTTAAATTGGATGTGATGATCAGTTTTCTGCCAAATGATCAAAATGAAGGACGGAATGAGCCTCCATGGCTAAATTGTCTCTCTTCAGATTTTTTTTGTGGTATTGTGATTTGAACTCAGGGCATTGTGCTTGCCAGATAGGCGCTCTACCACTTGAACAACACCCCAGTCTCTTCAGATGTTTTGGAGATGTGGCTTGACCAATGAATGATCTGAATGTATATACTTACCAATTGTGTTAAGTAGGCTGTCTGTTACTGTAGTAAATACTGGAGATAAAGCAACTTAAAAATAGAAAAGGTTTATTTTAGCTCATAGTTTTGGAGGTTCCAGTTCATGTTGTTTGACCACATTGCTTTGGGGTCCTTGGTGAGCAGCCCATCACAGCAAGGAGTATTTGGTAGAACAAGACGCTCACTTAATTGAAGCCAGGAAGGAACACACAGCATCCCACAATCACCTTCTAGGACATATACTCAATGACCTATAATCTTCCACTGGGCCCCACCACTTAAAGGTTTCCGCCATCTTTCAGTAGCACCAAGCTGGGGACCAAGTCTTTAACATGTGGGTCTTTGAAGGACATTCTAGATTCAAACAAAGCATCAATCATGCTTTGATGGGATTTTAGTTGCTACTCAATGTGAAGACAGTTGCCTTACAGCAATAACCTCACTGGGTGCCCATTTCCTTCTCTCTAGAGAAAGAGAAGTAAGAGATTGAGGCCGATAGTATTTGACATTATTTTACCAAAGTAAATTTAATAGTTGAAAGATATGCCACTTTTAAACATATTTTGCTATTATTGTGCTCTCACCTTTAGTTCTCTGCACCACACTTAATGGGACTAGGTAACCCCTAAGGCCTTTTTAACTTTGGTATTTTATTCTATCACTACCAATACAAATTATTTCCATAATTTGCTAAAACAATTAACCACCAGAGGGCAGTAAGGAAACATGTGGCCACAAAACAACAGTAAATTATACATTCAACTAAAGTGACTTTTAAAATTCTGCTTTCAATTAAATTCCATAAAATGTACTGCTTGTCTACTTTATATCTGTGCTGTACTAGGAAAATAACAATGACCTCTAACAGCTCATAGAATAAATACACAACTTTAACAAAGAAAGAATGGCTGCCATTTACATTGTGTGGGAGCCCTTTTCATTCATTCAGGGATTCTACATTAAGCACTTACTGTATGCCAGGCCCTGTTCTATAAACTCAGGATGCATTTGTTAGCAATGCAAAGATCCCCGACCTTGTGGAACTGACATTTTATTGGGAGGACAAAGCCTAAATAATTAAGCAACTTGTGTAGTGGGTTAGGAGGTGATGAGAGCTGTGGAAGAAAGAAAAAGTAGATCTGAGTTCAGGGGGGATTAGGATTCAGGTAAGGACGGCAATTTAGGTAGGGTGGTGAGAGCAAGCCTCAGAGAGAGAACATATGAACAAGACTGAGGTGAGGGGATAGGAGGTGGGGTTTTCTGAAACAGTATTGCAAGTAGAAGGAAGAATAGAAGAACCTAAGGCAGGAGAGTCCATAGTAAATGAGGTAGAGGTAAGAGGAGGCAGATCATGAAAAGCTTTAAAGGTTGTTGTGAAAACTGGCTTTTTCATTGAGTTAAATGTGTGTGTGTATGGGGGGGTACGGTACAATTGTGTGTAAAGCAGACATTTTTCCAGGGTCACGTTGGCTGAGAATTGAGAACAGCCTCAAAGAGGCTTAGCTTCCAAATATTGTTTATAGCTTGTTTAAAACAAAACAAAACACAGTGAAGGTGGTCATGCTGCTGTCACCATTTAGCAAATAGCAGCTGATCCACATACATCCCTCCTATGCCACATACCAGGTACTATGTCAAGCATTTTACAACACTCATTTAATTTTCCCAACACATCTATGGTATCAGCATCACTATTAGTACTATGTTAAAGTTAAGAAAGAAGTAGATTGTATAATTCAGTGATTTGTCCTAGGTTTAAATGAAGTAAATGGAACTCATGGAAACCAGTTTGAAAAACACTAGTTACTAATATGACTTAAATGTTTAAGTTCAACCACCACCTTCTTTGCCTTTTTTTTTTTGTGGACTAGGGTTTGAACACAAGTTTCACCTTGAGCCACTCCACCAGCTGTTTTTTGTGAAGGATTTTTTCAAGATAGGGTGTCACAAACTGTTTGCCTAGGCTGGCTTCAAATGGTGATCCTCCTGATCTCTGCCTCATGAGTAGCTAGAATTACAGGCATGAGCCACCCATGTCCCACTCATTGTCTTCATTTCTATCTAGCCACTACTCCACAGATTTACCCACATTGTAACTTTATGGCTTTATCTACCATTGATTCCCTTTTGAGCTTGGAGTAACTAGTCTGGTTTGTAAATGTCTGGGCTGTTAAGTAGACAGGGCCCATCAATGAACCCTATTTTCTCTAAGGGATTCACTTTTAAAAATCTATCTATTTCTGACTTGTTTATATTATTGTTGTACTGGGGGTACACTGTGACATTTACATAAGTGCTTACAGCATATCATTCTCCATCATTCTCCTTCATATCCCCTCCTCCGTGCTTGGAAAAGTGTAAACAGGTCTCATCTTTCCACTTACATACATGTGTAGATAATATTTACACCATATTCACCCTCCTACACCCTCTCCTTATATCCTCCCCCCTCCCACTGGTACCAACCCCCCAGACAGGACCTGTTTTGCATTCCTGTTCTTTGTTTTTGTTTTAAAAAAATTGACATTTTTGTTTGTTTATATGACTATACAGGGTGTTTCATTATGACATTTCCAAATATATAGCTGTATTATGGCCAGAATAGGGAACTTATTTTAAACCATGATAATTTAAAAATTTACTCAGGCAGTGCTGCACCCCCAGGCCCAGGGATCTGTGATGTAAACACAGAAACGGACAGTGTTAATAAGCTTTAAGAGGCATGAATCTACTAATAGCAAATTGGGGCTTGTACTTACTATATGTTTTTCCTCCTATTTTTTGTACCATTTTACCTGAGGGGCTGAATAGACAAAAAAAAAAAAAAACTTGGCCATACATAAAACAGAATTTCACCCACCTGCAGCAACCTACACAGAAAACCAGCCCTTGCAGGAAGCCAGATCCCAGCCCGTGGCACCAACTCAGGAATCTAAACAGAAACTTCTGTAACACGGCCTTGAACAGCCGGGACTTAACAATCAACGGTTTCCTTAATTTTTGTCCCTCCTTCCAACTGTTATCAACCAAAGAAAGCCCAATGTGCTCCCCAAAGCCAAACGCATGGGATGCTCCACCTCTGATCAGCATTCGCAATGCTCTGCCCGCCTTTGGGCCGCTGCCAAAACACAAGTGAGTGTGGTGACTCCCTCGCTACAGCCAGCTCTGAATAACCACCTCTGCTTGTTCTCACTTGTCTTCACAGGAAAACCCCGGCTGCACCCAGTAAGCTGGTGTAGCACCGCGCTACGGTTCGGGGTCCCTTCTAGGAGCAGCCTGCAGGGCCAGATGAGCAACAAGCACCGGCGGGACAGCTGGTGAGATTATCGCTGACGACAGTAAATCTAGGTGTGCGGGGAACCTAGCGGAGGCGTCTTGGGTAGAAAAACCTCTCCCCAGAGGCCAGGCACACCTGATCACGGCCCCGCACTACCCTTTTCTGGCATCTGGGACGCTGCTTCCTAGTGTGGATGGAACTTCCTGTGCACGTCTTCAGCGCACGCGCCCTCGGCTCCCTGTGCGCATGCGCGGTCACCCCCGCGCTGACGTCGTGTGCCCCAGCCTGGGCGGCGGTGGCTCTGGGTGAAGAGGTGTTCGGCTGCTACCCAGGGTCCCGCGGGGCCCGCCTCTCCACGCTCGCCTGCGGGTCATTGCGCCTGGCCTGGTGTCCGCCTCCTCCCCTCGACCTCTGGGTCTCCTCCGGGGTGTTTCCACACTAGAGGTGATGCTTCATTGCAGGGGACTGTGGCCTGGGGACCGGGGTGGCGCTTTCACTTCCCGGGGGCAGACGTTCTCTGCAGTAGCGCAGTGGGCAGTGTTTCCTCCGTGCGGACCCTTTCCCGTGACGTGCGGGCGCAGAATGGGTGTCCGTAGACTACAGGGACCGTTTGAATGCTTTCACAAACGTCCTCAAACGCGTTTTGCATTTTAGTGCTTTTTAAAAAACAAAACATCTGTTGGATGAGCTCGCTAAAAGCAATTCTAAATTGCTTTCTCAAGAGGAATCCTAATTTTCCTGTCATCCAGTCGGTTCAGGGAATTTCTTTTCAATAAAGAAGATGAATTCTGCCCCCCGACCCTGACTTCATTGCGGCGCTCACGGGATTTCTAATTACTGAGGGCTTAACTTTTTTTCGTTTTGCATGGACCTCTGCTTTTGTTGATGTTGTTTAGAAAATGCATTAACTCTTTATTGTTGACACACAAACCTATTTTGATCTTTTTTCGAGTTATAGTCAGTGTTATGAAGGCTTTTGTGAAATAACTGGAGACCACTAATGTGTTTTAAGTTTTCGTGCCAGATTTTAAATTGTTTTTCTGCCTGCAGCTATTAACTATGGTGTCACTTGTCAAGTGCCTACATTCCTTACCCTCATAATTAATGCTGTTTATCTGTTGCAGGTTTTGAATTTTGATAATTATATTTGAAAGAACTGTTATAGTAAAAGAATACTAAAAAAGGAACTTGTGGATTTTAAATTTCATGTCTTAATTTTTCATTTCATGAAATGCCCATTTAAAAAAGCATAGTTAAGCAAAAGAAAGAATTGTCTGATAATCTACTTCCTAAAGATAACCATTGATAATATTTTGTAGTATAGTCTTAATAGTTTTTGAGATAGGGTCTTGCTCTGTAGCCCAGGCTGGCCTTAAACTCATGATCCTTCTACGTCACCTGTGGAGTGCCAGTAGTACTATTCCTGGCTTAGTTTTAATATTTAAATGCATAATATTTTACAGCAACAAAAGCCAAGGTGCATAGGTGAGATGGGTTGGGTAAATGATACAATTTAATATTGAGTCCCATACAAGAGCAGGCAATTGATCATAGATAGTATAACCAGCTAATTGAAAGGGTGGAGAAAAATCACTGAAATGTTTTCCAACTCTTCATTCTTTGTTTCTAGCCCCCCCCCTTTTCTCCTCTCTTCTCTCTCTCTCTCTCTTCCCTCCCCTCTAAGAATGAAACATGACTGAAGACTCTCAGAGAAACTTTCGTTCAGTATATTATGAGAAAGTGGGGTTTCGTGGAGTTGAAGAAAAGAAATCATTGGAAATTCTCCTAAAAGATGACAGGCTGGGTAAGTTTTATTTGTTTAGTTAAGTTTATTGGTTCTTAGTTATCCTAGATGTTTTGAAGTAAATTCTACTTTTAAGAGACATCAGGGGTAGTTTTTGCTTGCTACAGTGTTTTAGTGATATGATGACATCACATTGGCATGATTTGAGAAAAGTTACAGGTTTTTCACATTTATATTTCACCGAGAGAAGTATTTGCAAGGCTTCTTTAGATATATCATTATGGCTTCTAGGTAAGCTTTTTTTTTAACAATGTAAGGTATGTTTTATTTTATGAAAATACTAGAACTGAACCATTGTTAAAAATAATACTTTATTTGCATTGGGTGCTTTTTTTTTTTTTTTTTTTCTTTTTCCCTCAGTGCTGGTGATCAGGCCTTGCTAGGTAAGTGCTCTGCCACTAAGCTATATTGAATGCTTTTAAAGTTTCAAAAATATTTTGCACCTGATCTTTGGTCCTCACTGTATAGTCCATGTTTTAAGTATGCCTGGCATTATGATTCTCCCTTAGTAAGTAGAGGACTTGTGGCTCAGGGTGATTTGTGTAACTTATTGGGCTTTGAAGGCTGACTCTACCACTTATCAGCTATGTTTAATGTGGTAAAGTCACTTAACTACTTTAAACTTCATTGGTTTTGTAATGTGGATAAAATGAAATAAATTCAATAATTACTAACTACTGCTAATGTGAAGGGACTGAAGTAATACAGGTAAAATGTATCTCCTATATTGTAAAATGCTAATTATTTTAAGTAGCTTAATTGGTGGAAGACTTAGGCTAGAAGTCACATCAGTATTGCCTTTCCTAAATTGGCTGACCATATGGGAGACTTCCCCTGAAGAAATGTCTGAACTATACTTTCAATTTTAAAAAATGAAATGTGCATTTACATACTGTGATCAGCATGAAAAACTCCTGTTTTTTTTCTTCCACTAGATATTGAGAAGCTTTGTACTTTTAGCCAGAGGTTCCCTCTCCCATCCATGTACCGTGCATTGGTGTGGAAGGTTCTTCTAGGTATGAGACCCAAGAGTTGGGAATTTACCTTCAAAAGTATTAGATAAAGTGATCATTTGTCATCTTACAGCTAGAAAAGGAGGATTTGTTTAGGCCTTTCATTGAGGATTGGGATCTTTCTCAGGAGACCCAATTATTGCTCACTGGGAAAGCCTTCATCAATAAATATTCAGTAGTAATTTTACTTGAGTGGTGTTCGGCTTATTAGTGATGGAACAGAAGGTAATGTATGTTCCTGAGGTAAAGTGTGAGAAGAACATTAGACCAGGAGAAAGGAGAGCTGGTCTGTTCTGCTGCCAGCTGGGTAACCTGGGGAAATACTTATGTGGGTCTTACTTTTTGTTTCTGTACAATGAGAATAGTGACCTGAATTGCTTCTAGGTTTTAGCTTTAAGTTTCTGAGATTTTTGTGATTCTCAGTGATGGAGGAATACCTTCCAGAGTCAAAGAGGAATCAGAGTATTCTTTCCCTAGAAGTGTGAGTGAATGAATTGTAGTAATAAGTGGCTGAATGAGAAGGAAAACTGATTTGCCTGATTTCTGGAGATGAAAAGGTGCCAAACAGCTGGTAGCATCCCTTTTGAGCTGAAGTTGGGGTTTCTTTTGAGCTAAAGTTAGGGTTTTTTTTTTTGGTTTTAGTTTGTTTTTTGCGTCATCAGTGACCTCTTGGAGCCTATCAAATCCATCCATTACCACCCTCTCTTTCTTAAACATTAACTGTAAGATAGTGGTGAAACTGGAACTTCATGACAAATATAAAGTATTACTGCTATTTATTTGGCATCCCTGGGTTTCTATCACTACTCTGAGTAGTTTGCACAAATTATATAGCGTAATCCTAGATTTCCCCTTTGGTAGACTTCAGTATCCTAATTTCACAGATGGAGAAAAATACTCAGGGAGTCTAACTAACTTGCTTGAGGCTTTATAGCGTGTGTGTGACAGCTGGGATTTAAGCTTAAGTTTGTTGAACTCATTTGAAAGTAGGATAGAGTGTAGACCTCATTTTCTTTGTAAGTTACACTGTATTTACAGGAAGTTAGGACCTGCAGCCCTAAGTCTGGTTGTATACTCTGAAGGCAGCAAGGGAATGTAAGCTGTTCTAAAAAGCACTGCTTAATAACTTTTTTGTTGAGCATGTTGGCAGCTTTTCTGCACTTTTTAAAATTCATATGTGCATACAATGTTTGGGTCATTTCTCCCCCCTTCCCCACTCCCTTACCCTCCCACCCCTTCCCTCTCCCCCCACCCCCTCGATACCCGGCAGAAACTATTTTGCCCTTATCTCTAATTTTGTTGAAGAGAGAGTATAAGCAATAATAGGAAGGAACAAGAGTTTCTGCTAGTTGAGATAAGGATAGCTATACAAGGAGTTGACTTACATTGATTTCCTGTGCATGTGTGTTACCTTCTAGGTTAATTCTTCTTGATCTAACCTTTGCTCTAGTTCCTGGTCCCCCTCTCCTATTGGCCTCAGTTGCTTTAAAGTATCTGCTTTAGTTTCTCTGCATTGAGGGCAACAAATGCTATCTAGTTTTTTTTTTGGTGTCTTAGCTATCCTCATATCTTCCTTGTGTGCTCTCGCTTTATCATGTGATCAAAGTCCAATCCCATTCTTGTGTTTGCCCTTGATCTAATGTCTGCATATGAGGGAGAACATATGATTTTTGGTCTTTTGGGCCAGGCTAACCTCACTCAGAATGATGTTCTCCAATTCCATCCATTTACCAGCGAATGATAACATTTCGTTCTTCTTCATGGCTGCATAAAATTCCATTGTGTATAGATACCACATTTTCTTAATCCATTCGTCAGTGCTGGGGCATCTTGGCTGTTTCCATAACTTGGCTATTGGGAATAGTGCTGCAATAAACATGGGTGTGCAGGTGCCTCTGGAGTAACCAGTCTTTTGGGTATATCCCCAAGAGTGGTATTGCTGGACAATATGGCAGATCAATGTTTAGCTTTTTGAGTAGCCTCCATAATTTTTCCAGAGTGGTTGTACTAGTTTACATTCCCACCAGCAGTGTAAGCGGATTACTTTTTCCCCCGCATCCTTGCCAACACCTGTTGTTGGTGGTGTTGCTGATGATGGCTATTCTAACAGGGGTGAGGTAGAATCTTAGTGTGGTTTTAATTCGCATTTCCTTTACTGCTAGAGATGGCGAGCATTCTTTCATGTGTTTTTTTGGCCATTTGAATTTCTTCTTTTGAGAAAGTTCTGTTTAGCTCACTTGCCCATTTCTTTATTGGTTCATTAGTTTTAGGAGAATTTAGTTTTTTAAGTTCCCTATATATTCTGGTTATCAGTCCTTTGTCTGATGTGTAGCTGGCAAATATTTTCTCTCACTCTGTGGGTGTTCTCTTCCATTTAGAGACCATTTCTTTTGTTGAGCAGAAGCTTTTTAGTTTTATGGAGTCCCATTTATCTATGCTATCTCTTAGTTGCTGTGCTGCTGGGTTCCATTGAGAAAGTTCTTATCTATATCTATTAATTCCAGAATATTTCCTACTCTTTCCTGTATCAACATTAGAGTTTGTGGTCTGATATTAAGATCCTTGATCCATTTTGAGTTAATATTGGTATAGGGTGATATACATGGATCTAGTTTCAGTTTTTTGCAGATGGCTAACCAGTTTTCCCAGCAGTTTTTGTTGAAGAGGCTGTCTTTTCTCCATCATATATTTTTAGCGCCTTTGTCAAAGACAAGTTGGTTATAGTTGTGTGGCTTCATATCTGGGTCCTCTATTCTGTTCCACTGGTCTTCATGTCTGTTTTTGTGCCAGTACCATGCTGTTTTTATTGTTATTGCTTTGTAATATAGTTTGAAGTCAGGTATCGTGATACCTCCTGCATTGTTCTTTTGACTGAGTATTGCCTTGGCTATTCGTGGCCTCTTGTGTCTCCATATAAATTTAACGGTAGATTTTTCAATCTCCTTAATGAATGTCATTGGAATTTTATTGGGAATTGCATTAAACATGTAGATTACTTTTGGGAGTATAGACATGTTTACTATGTTGATTCTACCAATCCATGAGCATGGGAGCTCTCTCCACTTTCTATAATCTTCCTCAATCTCTTTCTTCAGAAGTGTATAGTTTTCCTTGTAGAGGTCTTTCACATCTTTTGTTAGGTTTACACCTAGGTATTTGATTTTTTTTGAGGCTATTGTAAATGGAATTGTTTTCATACATTCTTTTTCAGTTTGTTCATTATTAGTGTATAGAAATGCTAATGATTTTTCTATGTTGATTTTATATCCTGCTACCTTGCTATAGCTGTTGATGGTGTCTAGGAGCTTTTGAGTAGAGTTTTTTGGGTCTTTTAGGTATAGGATCATATCATCTGCAAATAGGGATATTTTGACAGTTTCTTTACCTATTTGTATTCCTTTTATTCCTTCTTCTTGCCTAATTGCTCTGGCTAGGAATTCCAGTACTATGTTGAGTAGGAGTGGGGATAGTGGGCATCCTTGTCTGGTTCCTGATTTTAGAGGGAATGGTTTCAGTTTTTCTCCGTTAAGTATAATGTTGGCTGTAGGTTTGTCATATATACCTTTTATAATGTTGAGGTACTTTCCTTCTATTCCTGGTTTTAGCTTTTCTGCACTTATATGTCTGATAGATCCCTGTGGGTACAATCTACAAAAGTGGTAACAACTATTTTAGTTTTTCTTACAGCACTTTTTCTTAAATCTTACTGTTTCCAGTGGTGATCCTTCTACTGATGCATTTTACATCTGTGGATATAAAATTGACACCTCTTCTGGGAAGTCCCTTGTGTTTTATTAGCTCTATTGGATGAATGGGGTATGTCTCCTTGTGCTCTGTGGCACTTTCTGGGTGCCAAGGCCTACTTTTCTTTATGATGTCAATCATTGGTATTTTTTGAGGTAGTGAAAGGCACTGGAAATCAGAGCTATTTGAGTGGAAGGACTCTTCCTAGCATAAGTTTTTGAATGCTGAGGGATCTCTGCATGCTGACTTCCTAATACTGTTTTTGGTAAATACCAGAAGCAGACTATTTGATATAAACTCTTAGAAAATAGGCTTGAAGTTTACCATCAGAAGCATTATGCTGCCTGTAGTAGTCTGGCAAAGGTTGAGCTACAGCCATGTAACCTGCACAAGTCCAGATGTGGAGGATGTGTTTGTATACTTCCTTAGCTCCTCTGAAAGTCCAGAGGTCCACAGCTATGTTAAGAAGGTGTATGCCAGAAAAAAGAGCACTTAAGCAAGTCAGTTAGCTACAGACTTTTGACTTATCTAACTGTTGTCTCCAGAATATTCTTTAGAATACTGAATCTGTGCTGTTTTGCACCAAAGAGGGAGCCATCTGACACTTATCTTATCCTGTGCCAAGTACTCTTCTGTGTGCTTTATTGTTGTTGATTTGTTTATTCAGGATGACTGTATAAGATTAGGTATTATTATTCTCATTTTTCAGATGGGGAAGCTAACATATAGGGATATTGAAGAAATTGCTGAAGGTCACCCAAGCCAGTTAATTGTAGAGCTAGAATAGAACCCAGGAGTTGTCTGCTAAGTTTGTACATCTGTACAGTCTTGTAGTTAATGAGGACGCAATAAATAAGGTAAAATGTTTCCTTTAGAGTAAAACTAAATGTCTTGAAAATTCATTGTTACCATTCATCAAATCATTTTGACCATGGTCTCATTTTCTGATGAAGACTCTTGGCGGGGGTGGGTTCCATGGAGAACATTTGGTAAAGTGTTTGTTTATTTCATTTCCTGCCTTTTTTAGATGAGGAAATAAGTACCTAGAGGGACTGAGACATTTGTCCTGGTATTAGCATTCTGAGGCTAGAATTCAGAGTTATGACCTAGCCAGTTGTTTTTCTACTATGTTGTCACTATGCTCTCTTTCTAAATAAGATGTGGTTCCTGTGACAGAGCCTAATGGGCAGACACCATGTTTAAATGGAGTAATGAGCACAAAATGTCATAGAAATGCAGTGTAAGGTGACCTTGTTAATAAACATAAGGTATTTCTATGGCCCCAAGGATGGAATACTTTGTGGGTAATTTTTAACTGTTGGGGAAAAGAACTATCCAACAAGTTGTTAGTTCTGAGATAGAGGAGACCAAGTGCCAAAACTGGAGAGAGGCCTCTTGGGGCTAAAGGTGACTCCAAGCTGACAGCCATAAGTTGAGTTAAACCATTATTGTAATTGATGTAGTTATTACCTTGAAATTATGTGGCATACTTATTCAAAGGCTTTTGCGGTGACTTTTCATTTCTTTTTAATACCAGTGATGCATCATCGTTCAAATATTGATAGCATTTAATATTTAAACTTGTCATAGTGAGAGTTTCTAGAAGAGCCTCTACGTGGTAATTAAGTATTTGTGTAAATTCTAATTGCGAGGTGATGCTTTTCACAGAATTCTTTTTAATGTGGAGGGATTCAGATTGGTGACTCGGCACTTTGTCTTTTCTGTGTTGTTGTTCTGGGCCTCTGTAGGGATCCTGCCTCCACACCATGAGTCCCATGCTCAGGTGATGGTGTATCGCAAAGATCAGTACTCTGATGTCCTTCACGCCCTGAAAGTCATTCGCTTCATCAGTGATGCCACGCCTCAGGTGGAAGTCTCTCTCCGAATGTATCAACTGGAGTATGGCAGGTTGCCTCGAAGTCCCTCCTTTCCACGGGTTAGTAGTCAGTTTTCATTGACGTCTAACTCAGCTCTTGACTGTCCAGTTTTGTCAGCCTTTAATTATGTATGGTTTTAACTTAGAAACTTTCAGTGGCTTCCCATTGTCAGTAGAATGAAAGCAACACATCTTTACCTGACATCCATGGCCCTGCACATTCTGACCCAATCCACCTTATTTTTTAAAATATATTTTGTTTTGAAATGCAGTCATGCATGACAAGGATACATTCTGAGAAATTTGTCATTAGACATTTTCATTATTTGCAGATATCATAGAGTATACTTACTCAAAACTCAGATAAGCTTCATGTCACTAGGCAATTTAATCTTACAGGACTACCATCATAGATTGGTCTGTGCTGACTGGAGCATTGTTACGTGGTACATGACTAATTTCAAACTTACAGAAAAGTTACAAGATACTGCCAAGAATCCCCATGCACCTTTTACCCAGATACCCAGTTACTAACATTTTATGACATCTGCTTTGTCACTTTTCCTGTGTATGTACACACATTTCTTTTTATAAGCCATTGGAGAGCAATATGCAGACATGATGCTCTATTACCTTATATTCCTTTAACGTGTACTTCTTAAAGGCAAGGACATCTCTGCAGGTAACCATAGTACAGTCATCAAAACCAAGAAGTTAACGTTGATGACGGTGTTAACATCTAATTTACAGACTCCACTTGAATTTGACAGATTGTCCCAGTAATGTCCTTTAATGCAAATAAACAATAAAAGTTCTGAAGATTTAGTCTCAGTTATGGATTGCATTGAATTGCAGTTTCTTACTTTAGTTGCCTTTAATTTGAGACAGTTTGTTTGTGTCTTTTTTTATCTTTCATGCTCTTAACATTTTTGAAGGGTATAGGTTATTTTGTGGTAAGTCCCTCACTATCACTTCAGTTTTGGCTGGTGCTTGCTCCTGGTTAGATCCAGGCTGTTCACTGTGGGTAGGGTAATGCTGCATAATTCTCAGGGTGTGAGCAGGGGGACCTAGTGGTATTTGCCCCATCAGATCCCATGTTAACTTTGATCACTTGGTGAAGGTAGTGCCTAATGGGGTTTTTCCAATAATAACTGGAAAGTTATTGTTCCTTATCTAATTACTATTTCCCTTTGTGGGAAGACACTTTAAAACTACTCTGTAATTATCCTATTTCTTATTAAACTTTTATCCATGAGTTTCATCATTCATTGACGATTTTTTAAAAAATTTATGTTTTCCCTTTTCATTTTTAAATAATTTTGGACATAGAAAAAAATTCTAAAACCAATGCAACATTTCTACATACATTCACCAAGCACCCTCAAATTCTGCATCTTCACAACCATGGTATAATGATCAAAACCAGAAAATCAGCTTTGATGTAGTACTAGGAGCCAATCCATAGATCTTACCAAAACTGCTGACTGTCCCCTGATGCCCCTTTTACTAAGATCCAGGATCCAGTCCTGGATCACACCATCGTTTGTGGCCAGGTTTTAGTCTTCTTTAATCCAGAACAGTTCCTTAGTCTTTCTGCTCTTTCATGACCTTGACACTTTGAAGAGCAAGGGGCAGTACATTGTTTCTCCATTTGAGTGTGTCTGCTGCTTCCTCTTTATTAAAATGTGGTTATGCATTTTGACAAGGATGCTACAGAAGCATGATTTTCATTACTGTTGGTGATGGCTTTGACCAGGGGTGAAGGTGCTATCTGCCTGGTTTCTTGTGAGGTTACTTGTTTCCTTTTTGCAGTTAGTGAGTAGCTTGTGTGAAGTACTTTGGAACTTGTAAACATCCACCCACTAATAGTTCTTGCCTAAGCAATTGTTACTGCTCTGGTTGTAGTAAATGGTTATTTTTATTTTATCCCTTTACTCCTTCTGCATTTATCACTTGGTTTTGTTCTATACAGAGGATATTTTCCTTCTCTTTTACTTATTTATTGATATTGGTGTACATTTATAAAGTCATTTTTGAGTCAACAGCCTGTTATCATATACTGCCATTATTTGTCTTGATGTTCAGAATGTTCCAGATTTGGAAAGTAGGAGCCCTTTCTATCTGACACCTGTGTCTTTTTGACAATTTCCCATAATTGTGAGTGTTTCCGTACTTTCTGGCACAAGATGCTCTAGGCTTGTCTTGTACTTTCTGTGCTGCAGCTGTGAAGTCAGCCATTTCATTTTGGAGAGGAGTGTGATGTTTATAGACCAAGAACCAGGCACCTGATTTGCTCAGTGTTCTGGGTTGTCACTGTTTCTATCTGGAAAGACAGAGCTAGGAAATATACGCATGCACACAGTTGTTCACACACAAATGCACACATGTCTATTTATCACTTTATCTATGTACATATATTTATTTGAGTATTCACACACAAACACACACACACACTTTTTTTTTGTGGTGCCATGGATGGAACCCAGGATCTCATGCATGATAGGCAAGTGCTCTACCTCTGAGCACACCCCCAGCCCCTGTATATTATATATTATGATATATCTGTATGTATGAAAAATCCTGTGTTCAAACACTATGTCCAAGTTCAGTCTAATAGTTGCAGGTTTCATTCTGGCCGTGTTCCCTTTTCCATATTGTAACTTCCTTTGGCACTTGCAGTGTAAAAAGATCTCCCTCTGCCCTGCAGCTATATTTAATTTCTTGAGTAATTTCCCTGTATGTAACAACCTAATCCTTTTACCTTCATCTGTAACAAACCTCTGACTTTGGTTACTTGGATTATTTATGATGTGTAAGGGAAGAAAAAGGGAAGAGAAAGATGGTAGGCAAAGGAATAATTGCCTTGTTTGAGCTTTGGCTATTTAATTGCAGTTCTTTATGAAGATTTTGTTTGTGTGTTCTTGTTTTTTTTAAGCAGTGTCTCCTTGTATAGCCTAGGCCGGTGCTGAACATAGTCTGTATCTCAGTATGCCTTGAACTCAGGAACTTCCTGTCTCAGACTTTGAGTGCTGGTATTACAGGTAGTGTCCACCATACTTGGCTTCTTCAGGCATTTAATAGAGCGTTTTGTTTGCTTGGCTAAAATAGAATGGATTTTTAAATCAGGAATTTGCTTGCAAATTTTGTTATTTTACAATATTTATTTTTATTGCAGACTGGGCTTTGAGCTGAGCATGGTGGTGTACATGTGTAATCCCAGCACTCACAGGCTGAGGCAGGAGGATCCAAAGTTCTAGGCCACCCTGAGCAGTGAGATCCTGCCTCAAAAAAAAATGAGGTCCGCCTGGGATGGTGGCCCACACCTGTAAACCTAGCACCTGGAAGATGGGCAATCAAGAACTATTCATGGTTTCGGCCAATTCTGCGGCAAAAGTTCATAAGGCTCCTATTCAAAACCAATAAAAGCTGAAGCCTTAGTGGCACAGACCGAACACCCCAGCTAGCGTGATAAAGCCTAACAAGGAGGATTGTGGCGTCCAGGGCAGTCTGGGCATAAATGCAAGACCCTGTTAAAAAATAACTGAAGTTAAAAAACGAGGGCTCAGGGTATTGCTCATACCGCAGTACCACCAAAAAAAGGGAATGGTTGATTTATCTTTTTTTTTTTTTGAAGTTAATGATGTACCTGTGGATAAATCCTAGAGCTAATCAAGGTCATCCAGTTTTATTAAACTTAGCAAGAGAAGACTCCTAAAAAATAATTGGCACTCCTCACAATCACTGTTAAATTTCACTTTTCATCAGCCCAGTGAAGTTGACTTTACTACATGAGTTCCTAAATTCGAGGTTAAATTGGGTACATAACTTGTTAGCCCAAGAAATCTAAATGATAGGTCATAGCCCCCACCTCTCCCTATTTGGCTTGTCCATATCCAGAACCCGCAACTGCACTGTAGTGATGGCTCATATGTTGTCCAAGTGTGGGTTTGTGGTTCTGTAACAACCCCTTTCCCCAGTCACCAAGCCCCACACATTTTTGACATTTGATACAAGTTTGTGACAGTGCTTGGCCAGGAGCAAGATCAGCTTAGAGATCCTCTTCTCTTGCCCTGTCCCTCTGACCGTCAGGAGCAGCTAGTGACATGTCACCCTCAGGGGCACCTAGCACCAGGCCTGGGACCATGTGGGAGTCCAAAAAAGGAGACTTTCCTTTTCCTTCCTTCTTTTCTCTCCTTTAGCACGTTGATAAAATATTTAGAGAAATTTACTTCCTTTGATCCTAACTCTTTTACTATTGACATTTTGTGGAATATTAGCAAGTGAAAGAGGCCTAAAAATGAAATAATTTATTAAAATAGGAATTTTGATTTAACTTGGGACTTTCCAGGGGAATAAAAGACAGTTCTTAGTTTCCTTTTCATAGTAAAATCCTTAGCTGTGAAATCCTAGTTGAAAGTTTAAGGCTTTTGTGTATGGTAATGGTGTTTAAAAACGAAGTAGATTTCCAGATAGATTCGGGTTTTTACAAAATTTTGCTGTTGAAATTCACTTGCAGGTTTACTTTCATATTCTGAGTGTTGATGCAAGGTTTGAGAAATAACCATTTTTTTGACTCATAATTCAGACTCTAGGGGCAGTTTAACTTTTCAGGTATTTAAAGAGGACAAAACAAAATTCCAAAGGTATGTATCAATGCTTTGAAATACAGCAAATGGTTTATTACTGCTTTTGGAATTCTTCAGTATTAATAAATTATTACAAATGTCTCCAAGTGTGGTTTGTGTTATCACCTTCTGAAAAACTCTAATCTAGCACTGAGAGTATTTTTGGGAGGAGTCATTGACTTGCTTATGATTGATACTGACGTTATGATGGGTTTAATGTTAGAGGCTGAAGCATCCACATGCTCACCCTGGAAGCTAGTCATCCAGATATGCTCATCTTTATCTCCCCCTGCTCATCTCTTTACTCATGCACTCTGGTTTTTCATCCCACTTTGATTTATTAATGCAACCTCTTCAAAATTTAGAGGGCAAGGTTTCATTTTTATTAAAGAAATATGTCTTCCTCTCTTCCTCTGCCTCCCTCTTGAGATTTATTATTTATCTTCCAGGAGCCAGAGGATGAAGTATTTCTTGCCATTGCCAAAGCCATGGAAGAGATGGTGGAAGATAATGTCGACTGTTACTGGATCATCCGATGCTTTGTGAACCAGTTAAACAACAAGTACCGGGATTATTTACCCCAGCTGGTGAGGGTTTTTTTTTTTTTGCTCTTGGGGAGTAATCAATGGTATTGGGGGTCCTCAGAGAACACTCTTACCACCTGGTGGTGCTGCAGTTTTGAGTGGACCCTCTAAAGTAGGGCTTAGGCTTTGCAGATGTTTTCTGTAAAAGGCCAGATAGTAAATATTTTCAGCTGGACAGGCTAGGTGGTCTCCCACAAGCCCTCACTGTGCTGTTGGAGCACAAAAGCAACTATCACCTGCTGGGTTAGTCTACTGGGCTGACCATCCCTGCTACAGGGCAGCTTGCTAGCCACTGCTCTATCATATTTCTTCTCCTAGTCCAGACTCCCTGGCCTGTTATCTTGAATGGACCCTATCGATTAGTTAGGGTTGAAATTTGCCCACATATAATGGAGTGTCTAAGTAGCACTAGCTTTATTCTCATATAGCCAGCATCTATAGGTAAGGCACATTAGAGCCAGTGCTATAGAGTCGTGGTATGGACAGTGCTATAGAGTCCAGGCTCCTGTCATTTTGTTCCAGCATTCTTATGCACAATCTCCCTCTCCTGCTCACAGAGCTGTGGGGCCACAGCTATGAAATCCATATTATGGGTAAAGATAAAGTTGAAGAAGGAGAAGGGGTAAGCTAGTCCAGTCTGTTGTCTTAAGCAGGCTTTCCTTCTGCCTGTATACAGATTTTCCTGGATCTGATTGGTTACATTCTGACAAACCCGAGGTATAAGATGAAAGTATCATAAATTGAAAATGCATTTAATGCACCTACTAAACATTTGAGCTCAGCAGCACAGAGTCCTGTAGAGTGTGGGCTGACTGGGTGAGAGAGTTTTACCATATATTGATAGCCCAGGAAAAGATCCAGATCGAAAATTTGAAGTTCAGGTTGTATTGAATGCATATTGCTCTCACACTATTGTGAAGTCAAAAATATATTAAGTCAAATCATCATGGGCCAGGGACCATCTGTGTAAGTGGCCAGAGCTGTGTCACTTATCCCGCACCCCATCTGCAGTGGAGGCTGGCAAATGTGGTGTTTAAAGCCTGGCAGCTGGTGATCTCCCAGGGATGCAGTTAGGGAGGGAGGAGGGCCCCCTACATGGGGAGCACGCAGCCAGCTGTCTGCCATACCCTGGCTTGGGAATCCTGAGAACCAGTTGGCACTTGTCTCATAGCATGAGCCATTCTTCCTTGGCCATTCTCTTTTTGACCCCAGTTTTCTCTCTTAGCTATCTTATTTATAAAAATGAATCTGTTTTCTTAAGTCATTAAGTTGTTTCATTTGGCAGTGGTACTGAAAATAAGTACTACTTCAGTGGTGCTGAAGTAGTAGCCATGGTGCAGAGGAGATGGATGAGGGGCAGGGTTGAGGGATGGAGGAGCCTGAGGATCAGAGTCTGGTACTTGTTAGTGGGGTGCTGAGCAGGTCTCCAGCTTTATGGAGGCTTATGGAGCAATTTTATACAGTTCAATCAAGCAAAATTTGGTTTTTAAGGTTTTGAAATTTGATCCACTTATTTCAGTAAAAATAAACATGGCATTGGAGTATTAGTAAACACAATGTTAGTTACCTAATTAAATTAAGTCCCAATTATATGATGACTTTATCAGCTTTTCATGTTTAATATTGGAGTTAGTAGCATTTTTATAGTTTGTGCTGTTTTAAAAAGTCATTCTTGGGCTAGGTGTCATAGTGAACTCCTGTAATCCCAGCTATATTACGTGGGAGATGGGAGATGAAAGGATCATTGTTTGAGGCCAACAAAGAGCAGAGTTAGTGAGACTCTATCTCCAAAAACAAAAACAAAAAAACTCAGGCATGATAGTGCATAGATACCTAGCTACAAAGGAGGCATATGTAAACAGAGGCAGAGGTAGGTAGGAAGATTATAGTCCTGAGGCTGGCCCTTGGTAAAAGCAAGACCCTATCTGAAAAATAAATTAAAACAGAAAGGGCTGGACTTGTGGCTCAAGTATAGATTGCCTAGCAAGTACAACCTGAGTTCAAACCCTAGTACTACTAAATGAATGAATAAATAAACATCTTTTATTTTTAGGACATAAGTAATAAACAGATAGATTTTTCAAAAGAAATCACACTGTCCACGAGTTGCATTTCCCTAGACTGTACCACTACCCCCATACTCCCAGGCCCTCTGTATCCCATGCACATGGCTGTCAGCCTCATGCATATTCTTTTAGATACTTTTGCGCACAGGTATCTGTAAAATAACTTAAAAACACACAAATAGCATCATACTGTACATATGGGCTCTACCACTCCTCTTTTGTTTTTAACTTCATACTTAGAGAACATCTTGGCACAGAAAAATCAGGATTTTAGTCCTGACTTCCTTTTACTATATCTGGGAACTTAAAAATATTCCCATCACATTTCTTTCTTCACTCAACTCAGAGTCTCTTGTGTTGGGACCCAGGAATTCTAATTTTTTAAAGTTGCCAGGCAATTCTGAAGTGAATCTAGGGTTGAGAGCCATTCATTTAGAACCAATTTTTTCCCCTAACTTACTCAGTGTTTCCTGTTATAAATTTGCCATACTCATGTATGACAGACTCACACTGACAGTGAGTGTGCCCTTGTACGTGTTCTATGTATATACATTCTAGGTAGGCACGGTAAGAGAGGCTCAAGTGAAGGGATGGCATATTAACGTGTTTTGACAGATTGAAATTTTACAACTGTCTTTCCAATACGTTCATGGAACAGATCACCAGGTTTCCTCTTCACTAAATTGCCAATCCCTGAGGGGATCAGTGTCTTACATTTTTGTCCCTTAATCGTGAGAATGCTATCTCTGTTTCACTTGCACATCTTGTCTCTAGTAAGTTGAGCAGCTTTGCTTATTTCTGTTATTTTGTGACTGTTGCCTTTTGTCTTTGTAAGAGTGATCACATGCTCTGGATGTTGTATGACGCTTTGATACAATGAGTTTGTCAGTACTTCCCTTACGCTTGTTTTATATCTTCGCCCTCTCCAACTCCCAGGTTTAAAAAAAATACATTATTTCATTAGTTTTCTCCAAACTTTTGTTTTGTTTTATTTTATCATTTGTGCATTTATTTACATGTGTATTGTACATTGTATACATTATTTGTCCCCTCCCCACTTCCGGGCAGAACCTCTTCAGCCCTCTTGTTCTCTGATTTTGTTGAAAGAAAACATAAGAGATAATAAGAAAAACATAGCATTTTGCTAGTCTGAGATAAAAATAGCTATACAGAGAGATTCCTAGCATTGCTTCCATGCACATGTGTATTGCAACCCATATTGGTTCATCTCTAACTAGACCTCTTCACTGCTTCCTAGTCCCCTTTCCATAGTGGCCTCAGCCACTTTAAAATTACTTTATTCACTCCTCTACAGTGAGCCCATCAACCACATTGGTTTTAGGTTTCCTCCCCTTTACCTATTCCTGCTGTGCTCATTCTCCCCTTAGTGTGTGACCCATGGCAAATAATATTACTGTATTTGAACATGTGGTTTTTGTCCTTGTGAGCCTGGCTAACTTTACTTGAGATTCTCCCAGTTGTTTAGAATGCTTGGACATTTTAAACGTAGCCCTTAACCTTGTCCAGGAACTGTAGTGTGGAGGCACAGTTGTAGTGTGCCTCAACCCTACAACTTCTCCCACTGCAGCGGTGTTCCTCTTCTCCCTCTGGTTAGTATGTTGAGAGCGTACTTCATCTCAGGGAAGGCCAAATTTGCTTTGTTAATAAAGTACTTCATTTATTTTTTTTTTTCTAAGTGGAAGATTTTTTTTTTTTTCATTTTTCTTTTATTATTCATATGTGGATACAAGGCTTGGTTTATTTCTCCCCCCTGCCCCCACCCCCTCCCTTACCACCCACTCCACCCCCTCCCGCTCCCCCACTCAATACCCAGCAGAAACCATTTTGCCCTTATCTCTAATTTTGTTGTAGAGAGAGTATAAGCAACAATAGGAAGGAACAGGGGTTTTGCTGGTTGAGATAAGGATAGCTATACAGGGCATTGACTCACATTGACCTCCCGTGCATGGGCGTCACCTTCTAGGTTAATTCCCTTTAATCTAACCTTTTCTCTAGTTCCTGGTCCCCCTTTCCTATTGGCCCCAGCCGCTTCAAGGTATCTGCTTTAGTTTCTCTGCATTAAGGGCAACAAATGCTAGCTAGTTTTCTAGGTGTCCTACCTATCCTCACCCCTCCCTGTTTGTAGATGAGGACACTGATGCATGGAGAAGTAAAGTCATTTGCCTGAGGTCACACGGTAACCAGAAGAGCTACCACTCACGCTGTGTATTTGTTAGCTGAGACTTTCTATCAGAGATACTAAATGCCACCTTTATCATATACAGCATGTCCACATCTATTTTTAGCTCTTTTGTGTTCTTCTATTGAACTGTTCATTCAGTGCCAACAGCACACCATTTATTTAGTACAGCTTTCTAGCATATTTTGATAGGTGGTGGGGAAAGTTCCCTCCTCTTGTGATTCCTTCTTAAAAATGCTTTGGATATTCTTTTTTATTTTTTTTTCTTTTATTATTCATATGTGCATACAAGGCTTGGGTCATTTCTCCCCCCTGCCCCCACTCCCTCCCTTACCACCCACTCCACCCCCTCCCTTTTCCCTCCACCCCCTCAATACCCAGCAGAAACTATTTTGCCCTTATTTCTAATTTTGTTTTAGAGAGAGTATAAGCCATAATAGGAAGGAACAAGGGTTTTTGCTGGTTGAGATAAGGATAGCTATACAAGGCATTGACTCACATTGGTTTCCTGTGCGTGGGTGTTACCTTGTAGGTTAATTCTTTTTGATCTCACCTTTTCTCTAGTTCCTGGTCCCCTTTTCCTATTGGCCTCAGTTGCTTTTAAGGTATCTGCTTTAGTTTCTCTGCGTTAAGGGTAACAATGCTAGCTAATTTTTTAGGTGTCTTACCTATCCTCACCCCTCCCTTGTGTGCTCTTGCTTTTATCATGTGCTCAAAGTCCATTCTTGTGTTTGCCCTTGATCTAATGTCCACATATGAGGGAGAACATACGATTTTTGGTCTTTTGGGCCAGGCTAACCTCACTCAGAATGATGTTCTCCAATTCCATCCATTTACCAGTGAATGATAACATTTCGTTCTTCTTCATGGCTGCATAAAATTCCATTGTGTATAGATACCACATTTTCTTAATCCATTCGTCAGTGGTGGGGCAACTTGGCTGTTTCCATAACTTGGCTATTGTGAATAGTGCCGCAATAAACATGGGTATGCAGGTGCCTCTGGAGTAACCTGTGTCACAGTCTTTTGGGTATATCCCCAAGAGTGGTATTGCTGGATCAAATGGTAGATCGATGTCTAGCTTTTTAAGTAGCCTCCAAATTTTTTTCCAGAGTGATTGTACTAGTTTACATTCCCACCAACAGTGTAAGAGGGTTCCTTTTTCCCTGCATGCTTTGGATATTCTTGAGCTTTCTTGGGTTTTTTTAGAAATGAATTTTAGAATGATCCCTTAAACCTTAATTTCCTCAACTTTAAAAATAGTTTGTTTTAGCATTTACGTTATAGTGCCTGACACACAGTTTTAAATGGTTGTGAAGTTTTCAAAAAGTTATCTGGCATTTATAAGGAAAGGTAAGTTCCCTTAGTGGTGCTGTTTGATGTAGGCTTTGGGTGATGTTCTTTTTAGCTAAACTGTGTTTAGTCTGTCTTCAAATTCGTACCATTCTTATAGAGTATCTCTTCTCCTTAGGTTCCTGTTATGGCAGAGTTTCTATAATCTTCATCTGATATCTGTTCAGATTTTTGTGGTTTGAGCAAATAAATTTGTTATCTCACACTATAGGCTGCTTTATAGTTCCAGGGTAATATGCAGGTGACAGACAACAACACAACAGCCTTCAATAGAAAATATGAGGGATCTGGGGGTGTAGCTCCGTGGTAGAACGCCTGCCTAGCATTTGCAAGGCCCTGGGTTTAATCTTTAGCACTGCCAAAAAAAAAAAAAAGTAAAAAAGAAGGTATGATATCCCCAAGTGATGCTTTGTCTGTTATGCCGTAGTGTTCTGGTTCTTAGGATCGTATTGTGGCTTCTCTCCTCACACACCATTTGACAAGGCCTCTCATAGCAAAGAGAACACAGGCCAATTTTAGTCATGTGGCACAGAGACTTCACTCACTGAGACTTTATTGTGTTTAGTCACTAAAAGAAGTGGGCTCTCTTTCATTGCTGTAACCATTCCTTTTTGGAGCTAGCTATCCAGAAGATTGGTTTGTAAAACAAGCACTTTAAGCAGCTCTTCCTAAGCTTAGTAGAAATTCCTCTCAGAATAGGTTAGTTTTTTTTTTTTTTTAATAAGGATTGGCCTTGTGTTGATGATATATGCTCTATTTTCTTCATCAAATTAAGGATTTGGGGTCATGGCAATGTTGGAAATAACCTAAAGGTTTAGCAGGAACAGAATTGTGGTTATAATAAATTATACAATTTGCTGAGCATAAATATGTCAGGCAACATAAATATTACCTCCATCCATTACAAGTAAATAGATATATGTTCGATTTACCCACTTTCTTGGATTAAGCAGTAGCTTACCATACACTTTTTTCCCATCCTGCTGTTTCACCTTATGTATGCTAGAGATCATACCATAGTAGTATATAGAGATGGTCCTTATTTCTTTTCATAGCTGCAGACCAATCCATCACATGCACATCCTCTTCTGTATTCTCATATCAATAGATTGTTTTCCTATAGCCCTATAGTTTTCTGGTATGTTGTTAGTGTTTTTTGATTTTTGCCATTCTTGATAGGTACAAAATGATAACCTTAGTGTAGTTCTAGGTTGTGTTTCTTTTACTATAAATAAGATAGAAGTTATTTTTATATGGGTTAGAGCCATGTGCATTTTTTTCTATAAAGTTCTTTTTCCTAATTTTAGAAGCTCTACTTAGAGATATTAACCCTTTAAGGTTATTTATTAAGCTGGGAAAATGCCTATAATTTGGTGACTATAAAAAGCATAATCTTCTAGGCATGGTGGTGTATACCAATCACCCAACTATGCAGGAGACATAGGTATGAGGATCACAGTCCAGGCTGTACTGGGCAGAAATGTGAGACCCTATCTGAAAAAAATAACTTGAGGGCTGGGGACATGGCTCAAGTGGTAAGAGGCCTGCCTAGCAAGCATGAGGCCCTGAAATCAAACTGCAATACCATCAAAAAAAAAAAAAAAAAAAAAAAAAAGGGACAAAAATCTTGAATTGTATTTTCAATATGAGTCCAACTTAATAAAAGACAGAAAAGTGTATGGTGTGTGTATAAGGAAAGATGTGGGCTCAGTACAACCCAAATGTGGCTAGTGGTTGTCATTAGGTGATCTTTACATCCTTTCTGTATTTTCTGTATTGTTGAGATTTCTTAGAATTACATATTATAAACAAGAAGAAATATTTATAGTATGTACATTGAGTGATTATCAAAATATTGCTTAAGTTACTGTCAAAGTTCATATTAATTCATGACATTCACTGACTCAAATGTGATACATTGAGTACTTACTATGCCAAGTAATACTCTAAGTACTAAAGATGTAGCAGTGAACAAAGCAGACACGGTCTCTGCCCTCAGCAAGCTTATGTCTGATAAAAAGAAAAGACTGTTTCTTACTCATCTGTATCTTGCTTATTATTTGTACTGACTTTTGGATGAACCTTTTTTTTTCCTGTTGGTCATGATATAATGAGATATGGAAGGGTAGGGATATAATATAGCTCAGTTGTAGAGTGCTTGAAGTAAAATTAAATAAATAAAATGGAATAAGTAAGTTTTTCCACCCATGTTACTTTGTAGAAAAAGTACATAGATTCCTAGCATAGGATTTCTGGGCTAAAGGCCCAGCCAGGAACCCTTTTAGTTCCTTGGGGAAACATCCCTTATTGGGAGACGGTCTTATGTAGCATTCTTGAGTAGTTTGAGGAAATGAGGTGGCTGTTGGGAAGTTGCATGAACAGAAACAATTAGAGCCCCAGAAAAAGACAGGGAAAAGGTGGAAGCAGATGTTAACATGTGGGCCCCTCCTTGCCTGGTCAGCTCTCCTGAGAAGCTGTTTTGGCTCTGAGGACTGGGTTGGGAGTCTCTCCTTGGGGAAGGGACTGTGTTTGTCCTGTGATAGTATCATAGCTTTACAGTGATGGATACTTCTGTATCTGTCTGACTCAGGCTGAAGCACTGTGGAGGCAAAGATTCTTATCTTTTCCTTTATTCCCTGCATGTAGCCCAGGGTCTGGCACATGGACATGTAAAGACTATGAACTGCCTGACAGAGATTTAGATGTTTAGTGAAGTGAACATTTGCATTTGTTTCCATGGTATGGGATGTGGCCGCACTCTTCCAGATGGTGAGTGTGGACTCATGTTTGGCCCTCAGTGCCCATTCTTAGCCAGTGGGCCCTAAGTGCAGTGCGGAGTAGATGCAACCAGGTCCAGGGAACTGGCTATGTGGGCTTTCCCCATCTTGCAGAGTTGGCTTAAGTGAGAGGCTACCTGACAGAATCCAGGTGCTTTGCTCCCTCTCAGTTATTCCTCTGTTCCAAGAGATTTTCATGCACATTTATGTTGGGTGCATTGTTATCCTCTGCACATCCCTGTTGTCTTAACCTCTTTTACTGGTACACAGTGGTGCTCAATAAAGAACAGTGGGTGTTAGCTAATGACTGATCAGTCCCTTAGTGTCACCATCTCCTTGTCTCCTCCCCACCACTTTCTCACTCTGTTACTTTAGTCTTTCCCTTCCTCTTCCAGTGTCTCCCTAACTCCCCACTTTTTTTAAATTTTATTTTATTGAGACAATGTCTTGCTGTATAGCCCAGGCTGGCCTCAAACTCTTGAATCTCCTGTGTCAGCCTCCAAAGTGCTGGGATTACAGGCGTGTACTAACATGGCCAGCTTTCCTTTTTTTATTTCTATAGATAATCAACTGTTCCAGAGCAGCCAGTAATATCAGGGGCTTCCCAGAACAATTGCATTTTGCTTTGGACTTTGCCTTAGGCTGCCGGAAATGGTTCACTCAGTGACACTAAGATAACTACTCACTTGTTTTGCCTGGATTGCCCTGGGGTTAGCACTAGAAGAGACCCGTGTCCTGGAAGAAGGTTACTCTTCTCACTGTTAACTTGGTTGATTCTAAAATGTTTTCTAACACTTCCTGGCATTCAGCATGCAATTTTTTTAGAGACTGTCACATTAGGTGACGTTATGTCACAGGAAGTGAGTTATCTCTCTTCTTGTTGTATCTTCAGCCGAAGGCTTTTGAGCAGTACTTGAGCTTGGAAGACAGCAGGCTGCTGAGTCACCTGAGGACGTGTTCTGCAGTGTCCAGACTTCCTTATGACCTCTGGTTCCGGAGGTGCTTTGCTGGCTGCCTGCCCGAATCTAGCTTACAAAGGCAAGTGTTTCTGCAAAGACCTGTGGTCAGAGAGAATGCCTGGCCTTCCTGGGGTCATCCATCAGTGTAAATTTGTTTAGCAAGATGGTAATTAGAAGTTTTTGAGCAGCTGCCATAAGAGCATATGATTCTGCTTACTACTGAGTACACACACTGGGAAAGACTGCCAGTCTTCAATGTAGATTGTCAGGTCATCCCACCTGAAGCTGTCTGTAGGAGAGTAATGAGCAGGAGCTCCTCTTTATACAAGTATGCTGGATCCTCCTGTAACAGGTATCTTGTTAGATCTTGGTGATTCTTAGTTTCATCATGACTTTTTGTTTTGTGTGTGTGTGTGGTAGTGGGGATTGAACCGAGGCTTCCTGCTTTCTGGGCAAGCACTCTACCACTTGACCCATACCCCAGTACTTTTGTGTGTATTTATGTTTTTGAGATAGGGTCTCAATAACCTTTGCCTGAACTTGTGATCCTTCTGCTGCTTCCTCCCAGGCAGCTGGAATTATAGGCATGTACCACCTACTGAGTCTAATCATGACATCTTTAAAATTGCTGAAGGCAGTCAAGATTTGAAACACAGACTTAGCTCTTTTAGTTGGTTTCACACACCTTAGTCTGGGTCCCACCCCTCCAGGACTTTATGATGTAGCTAAGAAGAAAGTCAGTACACAGGGAACATTAGAGACATATATAACTTAGTGAATAGTGTATAATACAACTTAAAAAAGTTATAGTAGTTATCAGAATGGTTATTTTAGAGTAATAGTGGTTCAATAACTGACTCCTTAAAAGCTATTGGAAAAGTTTAAGGAATCTGTCCCTGGAGTCACTAGCAATGAAATTGACTTTATCTCATATTTGGTGTGCTTCTTTTGTTGTCATTCTATAATGTGCAACAATTAGATTAGCATTATAGAATAGCAGTGTAAAATACAAACTTTGGCTAGGGCTTTCTTTTAGGACTTTCCCTAAAAAAGTCAGGCTTGACACAGGCATTTGGTAGATGCTAGAGCAGTAATTTTTAGCGAACTTTCCTTTTTTCCTTATAAAGCTAATTATATCTAGAATACATTTCAGTGGCTTATCTGTTTTGTTACTGTTATTTCACAGTCATTTTTCTCTGAAGCTTAAAGTAAGAGTAATTTGATCTTATTATGTAATTTGAGATGTCTAGATAAACATGAATTTCAAACTCACATAAGGTGGTTATGTCTCCATTTTTGTAGGGTTTGGGATAAAGTTGTCAGTGGATCCTGTAAGATCCTAGTCTTTGTAGCTGTGGAAATTTTATTAACTTTTAAAATAAAAGTGATGGCACTGAACAGTGCAGAGAAGATAACAAGGTTCCTGGAAAATGTAAGTGTGCTTTATTTGATTATATTTTGAATCTACAAATGAAGTAAATCTAACAATCCAGATTTTCCTATTATGTTAAGTTATTTCAAGCATTTAAATATCTAAAGTATATCTTTATAAGAATGTTTTGGCTCAGAGTTGGCCTGTGGGTGATAGCTTGCACCTTCTGTCTTTGGGGGTACTAGTGTGAGCTTCTAGACCACACTAGAAGCTGGGTACCAGAGTCTTACCCCTGTCTCCTGGCAAGCACAGCAGTAGAGCTGGAAGTGAGAGCTGCCTGTAATTTTTTTGTCAGTGGGAAAAGAATCCTACAGTTTGAGGGATTCTGTAGCCTTCTCATTTTTGTGCTGTCTCTGTTGTAATCCCAGTGTGTTTGTTAATGTATTAAGTATTAAGTATTATCTCAGTGCATGCTGAAAAAGGCCTAAATGAATCAGCTTTTTCCTCCCTGTGTATCTTAGCACACCCTCCTAGGTGAGAGGTGGAATAGAGACTTAGGCCTACATGAATAATGTGTAATGGATAAGACCCAAGAGCTATTCTTTTTTTTTTTTTTTAAATTAGTATTAACATTGAACACTAGCCTGGAAAATAACCAACAGTACTTGACTGTGTGTTCAATAAATGAATCATCATTATAATAAATAGTGACCATCTGTGGCAGGGCTGTGTTAAGTAAGGATTATCTCCTATCACCCTGTAAATATCTGTGAAGTCGGGTCGTTTCCCTGTCTAGAAATGGGCTGTGAGCCTTGGGATGCTCTGGTAACCTGCTCAGGGCCTCATGATGAGCAAGCAGTGCAGGCTGGGAACTGGTGGGTTCGACACCAGACTTGCTATGTATGTCCTCAGTGGCATTAAATCAGTCATTTCATGCTATCACTTTCTGAAAAACAGTGAGAACTCCCTGAGAATATGTCTTATACTGCAGTGAATGAGAAGATCCTGAAGTTATAAACAGAAATTTCACCAAGACTGGCTTGCTGTTTACAGATCCCCCAGGATAGCTCAGACGCCATTGTGAGCAAGGCCATCGACTTGTGGCACAAACACTGTGGAACCCCGGTACATTCAGCCTGAATGCTGCGGACCATTGTGGACAGCCTGCCAGGCATGCCCTGAGCATTTGTTCTTATCACCTCTTCTACTTAATCTTGTCACCTTGTCTACTAAACCAGTTGGAGATGGTCTTCTTGCTGTGATGCTGAAAGTGCACATTTTTCTCCCAGTAAAATAATTTAATCAAAATACCTGGTGCAGTATCTTTCAGTGACATAGACATGCAAAGTTTACTTTGGAATAACATTTTTAAAGGGTTCCTAGAAAATAGCTCCCACTTTTTAAAGCAGTTCCACCTGAGTAGTTGGGTACATTCATGAACAGGTCTATTTCTGGAGTAAAGAATGACTTCCTTTTGTTGATGCCTCAAATTAGGCTTTTATTAATGCAGGACTTGTTGAAATCTAAGTGACTGCCTTTTCAAGCTTCGTCTGCTAAATAGGCTTAAAAGCAGTGGCTTCACTTCTCCCTTCTTTGTGGCAGTGTTTAGACAAAGTGTCTAAATTTCCCTACTAGGGGACAGTACTTGTTTGATACTCTGCTGGACATTAAATATCTTGTAGACTTGAGGGAGCCCTCTATTACACACAAAAGGAGTGGAGAGATAGCAGGTTCAGGCTAATAGCCAGTGACCCTGGGACCATATGGCACTATGTAAGGGTCACTGTTCAGTGAGCAATTGTCAGCTTTGAGCCTCATGAGTAAAATGGGCCCTTGTTCAATTCACTCAGCAGTCAGTCCTTCAAAAGCCTGAGTATGAATCGATTCCTTACCCCACCCCTAAATGAGGAGAGAGATGATAAGATTACATGAGAACCCATTCACTCTGTGATGTGTAAAGTGTCTGTTGACAAAGCAGTCAGAGAAAATGGAATTGTTGAAGCAGCCTGAAACTTCTGTATAGAAACAGATCCAAGAGTGATTTTTAAAAACAAACCAAAAACTTCACTCAGAAGAAAATCCTCTTATGGCAAAACTGCTACTTGCCGTTAAAACTTTAAAAAATGATTTTCTGTGAACCATTTAGTTAGTATCTGCTTCTGCTCTGGGAATATTGGGGACATGAGAAAAAAACAGGCAAAGGACTCCTTGCCCCAGTTACTTGCTACCTAGTGATTCACAAAGAAATGATAAAGCAGATGGATGGAATGGCACTTCTATTTAAGAGCCACACCTCTTACTTACTTAGAACTAAGATCTTATTTTCTGGCCACGGGGTGTGGGGATGGGAATTTTTTTTTTAAGTGAGTCAATGTGATACCATCAAGAGTTTTCTTGGCTGGCTGTGGTGGTACATGCCTGTAATCTCAGGATTGTGGTCTGAGGCCAGCCTGCACAACAGTTAGCATGAGACCCTATCTGAAAAGTAAACTAAAAGCAAAAGGACTGGAGCATGGCTCAACTAAGGCACTGAGTTCAATTCCCAGTATCCCAAACAAAACAAAACCTGCTGCTGTTTAGCAGAGGACAGTGAGAAAATAACAAAGTCCCAGTTTCATGTCATAGGAGAATTTTACTTTGCTGAGAGCTCAGCATTTAGATTCTACCTGCTGCCCTTGGTGAGGTGTACAGCTTCTGATAAAACTGGCCTTGTTCCTGTCTCCAGAACTTCTGTTGGGATGTTGAGGGATGCTCCTCTTTTTTGACCCCAGTTGTCTGTCAGAGTGAGCTGGTATAGCTGCAGTAATGACTCTTCCTTCTCTGAAAACTGGGACTTAACGTGATTTGATGTAGTTTCTCCTCTTTCCCTGTTAGAGTCTTAAACACAGAAGAGAGAAGCTCTAAAGTAACTCAGATAGGAGATATAGAAGGCTAAGGGAGGTTGGAGTATGTGTGTGGATTGCATGTGGGGGGTGTGATATGGGGGTTGTGTATGTGTGTATAGAATATATATGTATGTGGGAGAACGTGTATACATGTGAGGGTGTGGTGCATGTATGGTGTGTGTGTTGCATGCATGTTGCATAGTGTAGGGGACATAAGGAACATGTGGTTTGTATGTGCTGCAAGTGTGTATTGTGTGTGTTGCATGTGTATATTGCGTGTGTATGTAGACTATGGTGTGTATGTGTAGACTATGTATGGTGCATATGTTGTGTGGAGGGTATGTGTGGTATGTGCTGTGTATGTGTGGAGTGTGTGTGTGTGTGTGTGTGTGAGACACAGTACAGTGACGGCAGGCACATAGACTTGAGGCTGCATGAAGTGTGGCAAGGGTCCCTGTGAATGAAGTGCCTTCTTGTGTTAATAGTAAGTTTGCCTCACAGTCCTGGTGTGTGGCCTTCCAGGTACCTGATTTGCTGAAAGTGTGTGATATGTGCCTATCCTGTCCTGATTTGCCCATGGTTACCATGTCCCCCCGTGGTGACCTAAGGTTTCCTTTTTCTCCCCACGAGTGAAGAATCTGAAGAGGGTGCTGGGGAGAAGAGGGGAAGTGGAGCACAGATGGCCAGGACTAGACCCTCAGGACAGTGCTAGGTGTACTGCTGAGCCTGAATGGAGCTACATCCCCAGCGAGGCAACCTTTGGGGCCCTCGGATAGTAGAGTTCAGTCACAACTGCTGGCTGTGCACTTCACACCTGTGTGGTCACCAAGGGAGCACAGGTTGTCTCAGTCGGGTGTTTTGGGTATGGATAGGTGGAGGATGCTCTCCACCCCTGAGAGAAGGAGGAGTATGGGGGTTTCTTGTCAGAAGTTGATGGTCTCTCTGGTGGCTTAAACAGCCATTCTTCCATGAGACTTCACCAAAGGAAATTGCTTGTGGCTCCTGGCACAAGCTCAGCCTCTCTACATCACCTGTTGTTCATTTGGTCATTGCCTGGTTGAATGGGAGGAAGGGATGGCAGCAGGAGGAGGATGGGACAAATGCTGGGAGACAGCAGCAGGGTGTTGGTCTTGGCCTGCCTTCCTCAACTTCCTCCCCTGCCCCCATCCCCAACACCCATCCCTTCAACCTTGCCTTGTAGAGGTTAAAAAGTAAGTAGTCACCAGGTGAGGTGACAATTCCCCACCTCACTCTGGGGGTTTGATTTTACTCCAGGGCAACCACAAGGAGAATGTGACCAGAGAAGGACATGGAAAAATCCTTCAAGAAGCTTGTCCTGACTGAACAGAACTCCAAATGGAATATACCAGCAAGCACTTAATGTTCAAAATTCAAGATCATCACTACAATTAGGGATTCCTGTGTAGCTGACCAAGAGTGTAAACCACGTGCTCTCAGGCTTGTGAGCGCTCACACTGACCTTTGGACACTGTCTTTCTGGTGTCCACCATTCTCTTCCTGGAGTGCTAACCTGTCCTTGGCAATTGGAAGCCTATCTTTTTCCTCTCCTGCTTGCCCTCTGGACACCATGCTGAGGGAGGGAGGTGAGGGGGAGGAAGGCAGAAAGGTGAGGAGAGACTGGATGATTTGTTCTAAATGTTAGGAGCCCACATGCCATTTGGTTTTCTTGGATTTCATTCAATCTCGAGGAAATGTGAATGCACTGCTATTTACGAGCCAGGTACTGAGCAAGAATTGCTGAAGAAGACATGTGGTGCCTGTCCTTTTGGAGCTTATGATCGTAAAGTGAAGGCAGTGTTAGCCACGGCTATGTTTTCTTCTAGAAGTCTTCAACAGTGTTTCGCACCTCCAGAGCTGCCACACAACGAAGAAGGTGTCTGAGTTGTTCTAGGAACTCCAAGGAAGGTTAGACTGACTGAGATGTGTGGGTCATTGTCCCCTTCCCTTACTAGTGGAAGAAGTGACCAGGAGAGCCTTGGGATGGGAGAGTGGAGTGTGAGGCTCTGCCCACTTGCTGGTCTCCTCAGACGGGGACTGTTCCACTCCTTACCCCTCAGTGTGCTGGTGGGCATCTCCCGACGTTGCTCTGAAGGCCCTCTGTGCGATGCTGAATGTTTTTGCCAGCCATTAGTGGCAAGAGCAAGGTGGCTCTGCCTCTGTCTGAATCTGCTTTGGTTTTCAAGGTGTAGCTGTGCCACTTGCTCACAAAAGGCCCCTGTAGACTTTGGAGCTGAAAGTGCACGTCCTCTGAGCTGTCACATTTCTAACACTGCTCGTTTAGCAGTGATGGTTTGGAAGTCTCTGGTGTGTGTCGTCTTGAACTTTTGTTGTTTTTTGTTTGTGGGCCTGGAGCAGGCTGTGCAGCACTCTACCACTGAGCCATACCCACAGACTGAACTTTAAAAAAATTTTTTTATTTTTCTATTTTGGTGGTTAGGATTTGAACTCAAGGTCTTATGCTTGCTAGGCAGGTGGGCACTCAACCTCTTGAGCCACGCACCCAGCCCTTTTCTGCTTTATTTTTAAAGCAGAGACTTATGTTTTTGCCTGAAGCTGGCCTCAGACTGTGATCCTCCTACGATGTGGGACCACAGTTATGTGACTCCACGCCTGACTTCCCAGGCTGGCCCCAAATGGCAATCCTCCTGATTTCCACATCCCAAAACAGCTGGGATTATAGGTATTAGCCACTGTACCCAGTCAAAAATACATTTTTTTGAATTGACACATAGTAATTGTACATATTTATGGGATACTGTGTGGTATTTTAATACATGTATATATTGTGTATTGATCAGATTGGGTAATTGCCATTTCTAACACCTCAAATATTTATAATTTCTTTGTGTTGGGGACATTCAAAATCCTCTCTTCCAGCTATTTTGAAATAACTAATTGTCAACCACAGTTATCCTGCTGTGTTACAGCAAGTGCACCCCTGTACCCATTCACCAGCCCTCCCCACCTTTGAGTTTTCCAATGTGAATTCATTTCCCATGTGATTAAACTTTCAATGTGACTTTCCCCTGAGACTAAGCCGCTTGAAACAGGGTTAGGGCTGGTGCCCTTTTGCACACTTCAGCATAGTTTCCCTGCGTGGTTTCTCCTTGAAAGTGTGCTATCCATGCCCACCTTTGGGCATGTGCTATTGCCAGGAATATCCTTTCCCCACCGTGGGCTCCGTCTTCCCATCTAAGACGGCCCAAGTGTCCCCTCCTCTAGGAACCTTCCTGGGTCTCAGCCCCTTGCCTTCAGCCCCGGGGTTGTTTCCTTCCATGACTGTCTGTTGCTGTCCTTTGCATCACACATCCATTGGTTTAGACAGATGTATTTCTGTCTTCCCCTAGCCTATGAGCTGCTTGAAGGTAGAGAACACATCTTATTTTCTTTCTCCCCATGCCAAGCACATCTCCTAGCCCACCTGGGTTCTCCATGAATACTTATGGAATACCTAACTTACTGTTGATCCAGACTTCTCCAGTGACAAATCCCAGAATAGTCCCAGAGCTAACTAGCTTGCTTAAGAAAGATTGTTACAGAACACAGAGGTGAGACTGAGAACCCAGAGAGGGAAGGGCTGAAACTGAGGACAGGCCCTCTCATTCTCTTCTTTGTGATGGGCTCAGTGTGTGGGCTGCATTCTTTTCTCTCTTTACTATGGTTGCTCTGGTGGAAGACCCCTTTTCCTAAGATGCTAAACTTCACGGGCACAAGGCCAGCCTCTGCAGCCAGTCTCTTGGTCCCATTTCCCAAATCTGTGGGGAAGAGACTGGAGTCTAGTTTGGGTCTGGTGCAGCCATGGGCCAACCTACAGCCAAGGAGGTGGAGGGGCTGAGCAGCTTACACATGGCTGCCAGGAGCCTCCATGTGCCTGTGGCAGTGTGGGGGGTGATAAGGAAGGGACACTGTTAAGGGGTCACTGTGGACTGGGAAGACACCCTAAAAAGCACCACATTCCACTCAGTCAGTCTGTTGATCAAATACCTACCCTGTGTGTGGTGGGGGGAAAGGGGAGCAGGGGACCAGGAGGCTTCTGTCTCAGGTAAGTCTGATGGCTTTTTCTGCCCTATTTCTGCAACCCACGCTGTAGGCAGACAGCCAGTCCTTTTGGATAGGGTAGGCAGAGGGTATCCCACTGGCAGCTCTGGCAAACTGTTTATCCAGGCCAGGTGTTCCCTTTGTGAACATTTCTACCAAGTCTAACTCCTTCCAGAAGTCTACAGAAACTTGGCTTTACCCAGCTCCTTTCCCTCCACCTGGGTCAAGTGGGAGGGCTGTGGGTCAGCTCTTTATTTGCTTCTGGTTTCGGGGGAGGTCAGCTCCCCCAGCACATCCCACATCTGGGTCTCCAGACTGCACTGGATATGGTTGGGCCAGATGGCAGTTGGGTGAACCCAAATAAAGTTAGTCAGAGTAGGCGAGTGCTAAGGCTGGCTGATCACAAGATGGTGTGGGAAGCACACCTAGCCCTGCGGAATGTGGAGCTGAAGGGAGCCTGTGGATCAGCCAACACACAGGTAAGAGCAGTGAGGTTCCTGATGCAAAGTGGTTAGACTTGGTCAGGGCTGGTGGCTGAGCAGGCTCTAGAACCTGGCATCCCATTGACTGTCTAGAGTGTGTTTCATCAAGGCAATCCCTGGTCCAGAAATACTGTCTTTCTCTGAGCCTTAAAATTCCTTCACTGGAGGCTGGAAAACGGAGCTCAGTGGTAGAGCACTTACCTAGAATGTACAAAACCCTGGGTTTATCCCCAGCAAAGCACACACATACACGCATACTCACACTTCTTCATCAGGGTGAAGTACTTCGGAGTTGCAGTGCCTGTGTCGAGGCCCCTCTTGTGGCTCAGTAACTAGGCATAGTGTCCTTGGGTGCAAACCAGGGAACAGACTGCTTCCTGAGAGGAGGTGTTTAGGGGGAGAGGCCCATTCCAGGGTCTGTAAGAGCCTGCAGTGGAACAGGGGTCCATGACTTTATAGTGCAGAGGAATCCCCCTGGGACCTTGTGGCCACAGATCTGAGTCAGTAGGTCTGGGATAGGGCCTGGGGCTCTGCATTTCAAACAAGCTTCCTGATTATAATGTTGTGGTCCTTGGGACCACAGTGTGAGTAGCAAGGACCCAGGTATGTAGATTTCACCTAGGACAAGATTTAACCCTGATTCCTAAAGAAGTACGCCACAGAAAACCCTGCCAATGTCGCCTTCTCTTTTTAAATGATGAGTTTGGCCTCACTTCTAAGATACTGCTAAAAGCTTATGAAGCAGCTCATCAAACCAGGATACACTCTCAGGACTGAGACGTGATGTTCTCTTTAAATTCCCCCACACTGGGAATCATTTCACTATAACTTTATCACAAGTCAGTTTATTACCAAGGATGGCTCTGAGGCAGATAACCAACTGCGGACCACCTTATGGTCATTTAAACAACCAATGCCCATTTTCCCTTTCTTTCTTACTAGCCAGACCCTAACTTTATTTCAGGCAGTAGTATGTTAATAAAACTATTTCCTAGGCTCTTTTGTTGAAAGCAAAGGCCAATAGGTAGAAGACAACATCATTAGGCAGGATCTCTTAAAGAGGATTTACTCAGCTGGCAGCAGTCTTTCCTCTGACTTCCTGGCTGAAACATACATAATAGCTGAAACATACATAATAGCTGGAACTTTAGCGGCCGTCTTGGAACATGAACAACCTCAAGGATGATATCACCTGTCGTGGGCAGAAAACATGTTGGTGGTATCACAGAGCCACCACACAAACTCTTCCCAGCTTAACTCCAGATTTTTTTACATAACAAAAAAAGCCCTTCAACTTGTTTCAGCCACTGTTATGTGAGTATCCGGTTATGTAAAGGCTGCTGAACCTCTTGTAACCAACACCACCAGGGCAGATGTGTTTTAGCAGGGCAGACATAGGCCTAGATCTGTGTCTAAGGCCACTATTCTCCTGACTGTCCTTGCAGAATCACTGGTGGTGCAGGATCTCACTGGTGAGCAGAGACTCAGAAGCCCAGAATGCACGCTGAGCCTGGCTATTTTATTTTTTGGCAGCACTGGGATCTGAACTCAGGGCCTCACTCTTACTAGGCACTTTTCTGCTTGAGCTACTCTGCCAGCCCTTTTTTGTGTTGGGTATTTTCGAGATAGTATCCTGTGAACTGTTTGCCCAGGCTGGCTTCAAACTGTGGTACTTTTGATCTCTGCTTCTTGAGTAGCTAGGATTACAGGTGTGAGCCACCAGTGCCTGGTGAGGCAGTGTTCCTTGTGAACCTCAGGCCTCTCTATACAGGGAAGAGAGCTGAAAGTGATCCATAAAGAACTGGCTCCCCTGGAAAGGAGTAGATGGGTCTCAAGGTCACTGAGTGATGGAGTAGTGTGGGACATGGGGAGCTGTTAGGTGCCATCTTGATGGCTGAACAGAAAGGCTGGGCTCAGCACTCCCTCTCCTACTGATTTCCTGCTACAGTAGGAGGAATGTGAGGAGACAGGACAAGCAGCTTTTGGTGGGGGCTTGAGGAACTGTATCCCCAGCCTTCAACTCGGTACTGAGACTTGGGACGGGCCACTCCCCCACAGGT